TCCCAACCCGGAGCTGGCAACCATACCTTACAGTGACCTCCCGCTCCCTGTAAATGATGAGAATCCCATCTCCCTGTTGCTCACAAAATATTGTACTGGGCAGGGGTCATTTCATAGAAAAAGAGGTGCAGGAGCTCATTGGCATAACTCATTAGGATAACTTATTTGCATATGCCACACCCCCTGACATCACCGGAAGTGTGTCAGAAGGCAACACCCACTGCAACTTACCTGGCTGCTTTCTTGCTCCTCATGGCCTGGGGCTGCTGGGAGCAGGGGGTGGGGCTTGTTGCATGTGCCCGCCCCCTGGGCTCTTTACTACCGGAGCTCCGCTCCCGTGCGCTCCTGCAGGAAATAACCCCTGGTACTGGGTGTCTCCCCTTCCTCTTCCCTATTGTAGAATAGCCATACCTCCAGTTCTCCTGCTTTGCTGTCTCTGTTGACATCGTAAGCCACCACAAAATTGCCGTCGATCACCGTGGAGGAGCATGTGGGGCACTTCCGTTGCAGAGCCACCGGTGGTTTGAAAGACACGTGGGCCTTGAAAGGAGAGGAGGAGGGCGTGAAGGAGGCATTCTCATCTTCACCTTTTTTTGTGTGTGATTTATTTACTTCATTGATGTCCCATCTTTCTTCCCATTGGGGAGCCAACATGGTGTACATACTCCTTCTCTCCTCCATTTTATCCTCACGACAACCCTGTGAGGTGGGTTAAGCTGAGGGAATGTGATCGGGTCAAGGCCACCCAGCAAACTTCCATGGCAGAGTGGGGATTCAAACCTGGGTCTCCCAGATCCTGGTCTGACACTGACTGGCATCGGCTCTCCAGGGTCTCAGGCAGAGGTCTTTCCCACCACCTACTGCCTGGTCCTTTTAACTAGAGATGCTGGGGATTGAACCTTGGACCTTCTGCATGCCAGGCAGAGGATCTGTCACTGAGCTACTGCCCCACTTCATGGCTCTCCAGGGTTTCAGGCTGAGGTCTTTCCCATCACCTCCTGTCTGGACCTTTTAAACTGGAGATGCCGGGGATTGAACCTGGGACCTTCTGCATGTCAGGCAGAGGGTCTGCCACTGAGCCACAGCCCCACTTCACGGCTCTCCAGGGTCTCAGGCAGAGGTCTTTCCCATCACCTACTGCCTGGTCCTTTTTAACTGTCATGAATGGGACTCTCACAAGTAGCCTTTTTCTATTGAATTAGATCATCGGCCCCTCAAGGTCAGTATTGTCTACTCTGACTGGCAGCTACTATCCAGGGTCTCAGGCAGAGGTCCTTCCCATCACCTACTGCCTGGTCCTTTTAACCTGTCATGAATGGGACTCTCACAAGTAGCCTTTTTCTATTGAATTAGATCATCGGCCCCTCAAGGTCAGTATTGTCTACTCTGACTGGCAGCTGCTCCCCAGGGTCTCAGGCAGTTTACCATCACCTACTGCCTTGTCCTTTTAACTGGAGATACTGGGGATTGAACCTGGGACCTCCTGCAGACGCTCTACCACTGAGCCACAGCCCCTCCCCAATCAAATGGTTGCTAAGAGAATGGGCTAAAACTAGGGAGGTCACGCTTGAACACATGAAGCTGCTGCCCTATGTTGAATCAGACCCTTGGTCCATCAAGGTCAGTATTGTCCACTCAGACTGGCAGCCGCTTCCCAGGCTCTCAGGCAGAGGCCTTAGTTTCCCATCACCTAGTAAGAGATCCTTCAACTGGAGAGGCCAGAGACTGAACCTGGGACTTGCTCGCCTGCCAAACAGATGCTCAACCATGGAGCCAAGGTCCCCTTCCAGTTTTTCCCTTTTAGTGTGAAACAAACCCGACAATATCGTTGCACCAGTTTCTCTCTCCTCACACCGATGCTTTCTCATTAAAGATGTTGCCTTTTGTGCAGCTGGAACAATGCACGATTTGCTTAAATACAGGGGTCGTTTCGTAGAAAAAGAGCTAGGGGAACTCATTAGCATAACTCATTAGCATATGCCACACCCCCTGACATCACCGGAAGTGTGTCATAAGGCCACACCCCCTGACATCACCAGAAGTGTGTCATAAGGCCACACACCCCGCCCCCAACGGACCCGGCCCATGAGGGGCCCGGCGGTGGACCTGCAAGGCCGGCGAGAGTGCAAGGAAGCCCCGCGAAGGCCCTCCCTGGCCCCAGGCAGGCAGGGGGGGGGAGAGGGT